TCATACTTATCGAAAAAAAAGCGAAAGTCTTTCCACTCATTTTGATGATGGAAGATCTTTAGAAAGCAGATTTCAGCGTTGAGGGTCTGAAAGGCACAATGCTGGTGTCCAGGAGTCTCTTCACGTAAAATTTAGTTGAACAAAAAATTGATTATTTGTTTTTTTTTTGCTTCAAAGACAGTGGAGGTTCTTTGAAAAACAGATAAGGGCATTTAAGACCCTGAACCTTTCATAGTGTCTTGAGGTATGTTTATAACCACTTGAAAAAAATTCGAGAATTATAAAATCAAGTGCCAGAATGTGGAACAGCAAAAATTTCAAAAATTACTCAATATCAAAACTCAATGTCAAAACTTGAAAAACACTTTCAAAATGAAAAATATTTATTACTAAAACTGATGCATTTTAAGTAGATTTTTTTTGTCTTAAGAGAAAGAAATGCCAAAGCGTACATTATTAAGGTGCTAAAGAGAACAATTTTTGGTATTCAGATAGAAAGTTAAATTAACATAAGAAAGTTAGATCATTTTGGTTTCCTCGAAACTAAGGTCGCCCAAACAAAATTTCATTACAAAACGTCAAAAAAAATTTTTCATTTTGAAGTTTTTTTGCAACAACCACAGAAAACAAACTTCATAAAGTTAGTTAATTGCGGGCTCTGAACTCAACAATTTTCTGCTTGCGTTTGTAAATTTCTTTTGCAGCCTTTTACCGTTCTTGTTTGGAGGGAGGAAATAGCTCAGTTTGTCATAACGGGGGAGATAATGGGGAGGAACTTTGTTCCCAAGTGTTTTTGTTTTCCTTTTTTCAACTTTTGTTTTCTATGCAAAACCTGGTACTAGAACTAATCATTGAACAGGGTCGAGTTCCATACCATATTGAAGCCCTTTTAGTCGTAATGCGAACGATATTAAAAAATGATTTTTTTTCTGTGTCGAGGAAAACTGATTCGAACTTTTGATTTTAACTCTAAGTTCGAGCGATCGAAGGCAAACAAGCTGGCTTACAATAGCTTACTTATGCTTTATTTGAGCTAACAAAACTCAATTTTAATCCAGTAGAGTTAGTTTTTGGCTTTTTTTCAGCGAAATTAATGAAATCAAAAAATCAAAAAATATATGCTGTTTTCAACAAATTTTTTGATTTTCGAAAAAAGTTGTCCTGTTTGTTTATTTTACAATGACTGTCAAACAGACCTAAAATTTAGTTTTTGTTAAGAATTTTTTTATCACACCACACAAAAAAAACAATACTTATTGAAAAACTTTTCATTTTTTAAAAAACAGTGGTGGGAGCAATCTGTGATATTTGCGCAGCAGCCGCTATCCTCGCTTAAGTCGTGAAAATCTTTGGTAATTTATAGGAATTTGCTTTACAATAACGTAAACTTTTTACATAAACTTTTTACAACCAAATTTGCAAATAAAACTGCAGCTAACAGAAACAATGCCATTTGAGTTCTCCGCTTTTATGATGGCTAGCGTTTTTTTGCCATTATCTGTCAATTTGAGATTTTTTGGCGTGAAGCTCAGCGGCGCTTCTGGACGATTATTCATCCAAGTCTAGACAGGTCAAATTAATTTGCTAATTTTACTAAGTTAAACAATTTAAAAATTTGATGGAAGAAAGTCAAATTTAGCAAACAATCGATTTTACAACATGTTTATTGGAAGGAAAATTTTTTTTTATGATTATCTTTCCGCTTTTGAAATTTCCGCTGTCTCCAATAAATAGAGTGAGAACGAAAAATTAACCTTCAAATTTTATTCGCAACTTACTCTTTGAACTTGAGAACTCCCTGAAGAGCTAACAGTTCTATTTATTCTGTTTGCCAATAGAAGTTCAGTTTTAAAATCAGTACTTTTCATGTATGTTGGCTATGATTTTTTAGTAGGCAAGATGAAAACAGATTTACTGATATTAACGAGGCGTTTTACTTAAATAGTTCAACGATTCTACTCTGTGTTCTCACAAAACATCATTTCAATGTAGGAATAATCGTCTTTACGCGTAAATCTTACCATTTTCAATGATTTTCCTCAGAATTAAATATAATTTGGGTAACTTATTTTTTCATAAGAAAGATTTGGTTTTCAAATCCGAAACACAAATCGAATTTTTTATAGACTCCCCTTAAAACCTAGAATTGGGTCCCTGAATGACTTCACCGCCATTTTCATAACATAAAAATTAAACCCAATTTTTTTTGTAAATTATATTAATTTCAGAGCACTAAAACGACAATTACTGTCTTTTTAACCTAACAAAAAGTCGTCTGGATTGAATTACTAAGATTTTGTGCCTATTTGAGCGTTCAAGAAAATGCTTGACTCGATTTTGTCATAATTTTTATCAGCACTGGTCCCAGTTTGCGGGGCCTCGCAGATAAGTTGACACCTCAACCCGCTGCAAGAAAAAAGCGCTTTTTTGTTCAAAAAATACCCAGCCCCTATCCGCCGGTAATTTTCGACCCCCGCGAGTTACGAACTGCGCAATATTTTCAAGTTTGTTATGAAATTTTTAACATTTTTTAAATTTTTTTTGGTAAATGAGTAGTACGTATTCAAATTGAAACAAAATTAAGTTTCAATTTTGTGTCTCTTTGCTCCTTCATTTTGCATACAGTTTTGAAAATTTGTGATAACCATGGAGATAACAAATCGGGTTTCAAGTTTTTTTAAAAAAAACCCGACTCTTTCGTATGACAAAATAAATTACTCAATTTAATATTAAACCCCAGAAAAATCAATAAAAGTGGTAAGATTTACGCGTAAAGACAACTATTCTTATATTGAAATGAGAACACAGAGCAGAAGTGTTGGACTTTTTAACTAAAACCCCTTGTAAAAGTCAGTAAATCTGTTTTCATCTGGCAAACCATAAAATACAGCCAACATAATTCACAAATACTGACTTCAAAACTAAACTTGTTTTAGCAAACAGAATATTTACAACTGTTAGCTCTTCAGTGAGTTCTCAAGTTCAAAAATTAAGTTGCGAACAAAAATTTGAAGGTTAATTTCTTATCCCACTCTATTTTTTGGAAACTTGAAAACGGAAAGATAACGGAAAGAAAATGACTTTTTTCGTCCAATAAACATGTTGTAAATTCAATTGTTTGCAACATTTAACTTTCTTACATCGAATTTGTAAATTAGTAAACTTAGTAAAATTAATACTTCAATTTAAACTGACTAGATTTGGATTAAAAAATATCCAGAAGCGCTGCTGAGCTTCACGCCAAAAGAGATCTCAAATTGACAGAAAATGGCAAAAAACGCTAGCCATCATTAAAGCAGAGAACAGATGCAATTCAATTGGCCTTGCTTAGGTTAGCTGCAATTCAATTTGCATTTGGGTTGTAAAAAGTTGACACGTAAAACACAACGCAGATTCCTAAAAATTAAAAAAAATTCACACGACATAAACTAGGATAGCCGGCTGCTGTGCAAATATCACAGATTGTTCCGACCATTGTCTTTTAAAAAAAGGGTTTTCAATTAGTTGCATTTTTTCATGTGTGGAGTAATAAAAATTTCTTAGCAAAAACTAAAAATTAGGTCTGTTCGACAGTCATTGTAAAATAGACAAACAGGACAACTTTTTTCGAAAACCAAAAAAATTGTTGACAACAGCATATATTTTTTGAATTTTTGGTTCCAATAATTTCGCTGAAAAAAGCCAAAACATTTCTACTGGATTAAAACTGAGTTTTGTCGGCTCAAATACAGCATAAGTGAGCTATTGTAAGCCTGCTCGTTCGCCTTTATTTGCTCGAAGTTAGAGTTAAAACCAAAAGTTCGAATCGAGTTTCCTCGACACAGAAAAAAAAATTTAATGTCGTTCGATTTACGACTAAAAGGGCGTTAAAATGATATGTAACTCGACGCTGTTCGATTATAATTTACAGTACCAGGTTTTGCGTAGAAAACAAAAGTTGAAAAAAGAAAAAAACGAAAACACCCGAAAACAAAGTTCCTCCACATTATCTCCCCCGTTATGACAAACTGAGCTATTTCCTCCCTCCAAACAAGGGCGATAAACCCCTGCAAAAGACATTTACAAACGCAAGCAGAAGATTGTTGAGTTCAGAGCCCGCAATTAATTGACTTTATGAAGTTTGTTTTCTGTGTTTGTTGCAAAAAAAAACTTAAAAATGAAAACAAAATTTTGACGTTTTTTTAACGAAATTTTGTTTGGGCGACCTTTGTTTCGGGGAAACCAAAATGATCTAATTTTCTTGTTGTTAATTTAACTTTCTATCTGAATCCCAAAAATTGTTCTCTTTGGCACCTTAATAATGTATGCTATGGCATTTCTTTTTCTTAAGACAAAAAATCTACTTAAAATGCATCAGTTTTAGTAATGAATATTTTTCATTTTGAAAGTATTTTTCAAGTTTTGACATTGAGTTTTGATATTAGGTATTTTTGAAACTTTTTGCTGTTCCACATTTTTGCACATGATTTTATAACTATCGACTTTTTTCAAGTGGTTATAAACATGCCTCAAGTAACTATGGAGCTATTCATAGGTGCACATTCATAAGTGCACTATATTAGGTGCACGTTTATAAGTGCACATTCATATGTGCACATTTATAAGTGCACATTCATAAGTGCACATTCATGAGTGCACATTCATAGGTGCACATTTATAAGTGCACATTCATAAGTGCACATTCATAGGTGCACATTTATAAGTGCACATTCATAAGTGCACATTCATAGGTGAACATTTATAAGTGCACATTCATAGGTGCACATTTATAAGTGCACATTCTTAGTGCACATTCATAATTCATTATAATGTAAGTTTGCATGCACTTAAGACAAGAGAAAAAACCAAGACCTAGCGTCTTCACTAGTTCATTGAGTCTTAACAAAAACTAGTTTAGTTTTCAGCTTGTATATTATATCAACTGTTTCAACTTGGGAAACTAAGTCGTTTCTTAAATTAACAAATTCAGTTTTGCAACACACTCATTGACCAAAACAAAATTTCGAAAACCATCAATTAACTCAAAATTCAATCAAACATCGGAACTCAAATCTGCGTAAATTTGTCTTCACTCCATTTATTTAAAAACAGCAGTTCGAAAACTTCATTGTAGAAATTCGGGTAATACTGCGGTTTTATAAACGTCCCGATATCCGGCGCAAAGTTCGATTCCAGAATGACTGGCTGTAGTTCATTATCGTCTGTATATTTGACCATAAGGTCTATGGCGTATAGAGCTCTTGAGTTTGGTAGTTGGTATAATCCTTGATTCACAGACGCTTCCAAGATTTGTCTGATTGCAAGGTGAGAATCGGTTATCACTTGGTCCCAATTCAGCTAAAACAACAATTTCTAAAAAAAAACTGAAGGAAAACTGTCACAGTTCAGGTTAATTTACACAATTCAAATTGAGACAGTTCATTATTCGGATGTGCAAAATATTAAATCCCTTTATAATAGATTGGGTTATTCGTTACTTAATCCTGGAGGAAAATTTTTAAACAACTTCGATATATTAAAAATGCAGCAGTTCGCCAAAAAATTTGAATCAAGGTTGAAGTTTCAAATAATATCTGAAGTTTAAAAGTATAAAACCGAATATGAAACTTTTCAAGACAGAATTGCAGCCCTTTTTTATTTCATCTTCTGTACTTTTGTGGTAAAAAAAATCCGGTTCGACCATAACTTTCATTTTCCGAACGAAAGTAAGCATTTGGAAGCAACCAGCAAAAAAAAACATCTTCATAAACGTAGACATTTTTGACTCAGGCTTCCAATTTACTAAGCAGTAAAATGTTTCAACTTTCTACCTCGCAGGCCTGTACATTTTACTTGAAGTATCCCATCAAATAGACGGGAAATCTCAAATAGGTTTTTAATGGGAAAAATCGAAATAAATCAGCTCACCAATGAGCAAATAATCACACATACAAAAAAAATTTAATTAAATTTTTAGATTTGATTTATAAACTTTTATTTTAGGTTGATTTGCTGCATTTATATAACGGTGGGCAAGTTATAACCACCTTACAATGGGCAGTTTTACGCAGGAAGGCGCTTTTTAATTAACTTGTTTATTTTTACAAAATAGAAGAAATCAGCAAGAAATCGAATCCCTTCAACTCAACTGACATTTGGATAAAATGTTTCCATCTTTTTCCTGAACACCTCATATTTCATGGAATGAGCGAATGACACTCCCAACACGTAACTCATAACTGAAAAGTGTCTCTCGTATTCGAAGAAGTTCTTCAGCTGGTACTCTATGTTTCCCATTCTGATCCATAATTGGTTGTAGGCGAAGGCAAGAAGTGGTTTCACAGATTGAACAGCTAATAGGATCTAAACATTTAAAAAATTAAAATTAGGAGAATCATTTGCTCTGCGAGGAGAATAGAAAGTCCCGGCCATAAACACGCGAGTTTAAAAAACTCAAACGCAAACAAAGCTGCACTTTGCAAACACAAGCGATAAAACGCCAAAAATTGTCTCGGAAAAGTGAAATAAGGAAAAAATTCCAAAAAGCCTTGAAAAAATCAGCTTCCGTCATAAACAGGTTATTTTCCCAAATGGCATAATTCCCAAATCGCATAAAAATGAAACTTGTCCCAAAGAGCATAAATTTCGAGTTATCATTGTAATTCGAACGCTTTGTATCAACTTCTAATTCTACCATTTTGTCAGGAACGAAAACATGTGACCAAGATTTGGAATTAATTGCTTCCAAACAAATGTTAAGTGACATAGGAAAAATTGACCACAAGAGGCTTATCAATAACCGCAAGCTTATGCTTTTCGCTTTTGATAAAAAAATTATAAAAAAAACTCAAAATGAAAATTCATTCAACATTTGAATAGACAACTTGACTAATTTTCTCACATTGCTCAAGAAAAAGGTGTACTAGATTTTTTTATGCCATTAGAGACGTAATCACAAACCGGAATCGAAAGCGCAACCTGAGATTATTAATCTCACGCCCTTGTATCTGAGCAATGTACCAGCAAAAAGTGGACTCCTATTATAAATTTAGTCCACACACAGTTGGACAAGAGTAAGTGAACACAAACAAACTGGAAAAAGGGACTACTTTTTTTGGATAAAATCTCAACTTTCTAATTTGAAAGGAAAAAACTGAAGGCCTTTCAATTCTTCGATTTTTATAACAATCTATGATTGACACTCTTGTGATAAAAACAATCCAATTTGAGAAAACTGGATCAAAAGATAAATTTTTTATTTCGCTGGGAAATCTGAAAAAAATTAAATTCCACTTTTAAAAAAACTAGAAGTCGATCAAGTTTTCCGTGATCTTCACACTTTGTTTTCCCACAGTGGCGTTTGCCTCCCTTTTAGCAAAAGAAATGAACCGAATTTAGTATTGAATCAAAATTCGATTCTCGGAAAAAATCGAGCCTAAAAAAATGAACCATTACGAAAAAAAAAAACAATCATCACGACCTATATAGAATCTGAACTACGTTCATCGACTCGTAAAAATTTCACTGTTTGAAGCATCCAAGAAAAAATACAGATCAACAGTTCGGTTAAGCGCAGCCAACTGTCCATTTGGTTTTATTTAAAGGCAATGAAAAAAAACAGGAAAAAAACGGCCATTAGATTTGAAACTTATTATGAATGAAACATACATTGGACTTTGGTTGATTCTTACTTTCATGTGCGAATTTTGATATATAAAAATTCAACGAAAGAAAAAAGCCAAGAACCCAGTTGCAATTCGTATGACTTTCATATGCAAAGTTACTCGCTCGTTGAAAATAGCACTTTTCAAACCAATTTTCTCGACACATTTAAAAAAAATTACCAAGGCCGATAGATTCGCACTTGAAAGGGCTTCAAAATGAGATATCACCCGACTCATTACAATAATTGTTTATGATGTGGTTTTGCGTAAACAATAAAAATAGCAAATACACTAAAAAACACATGAAGACAATGTTGTTCCGCACAATCAAGTGGTGGTCGAAAAATTAAGTATGTCATTTTTACAGTACTCCCTGCCGACCCAAAGGGTTCCCAATCTCAGAAAATCAATTTGGTAAACCTAAAAAAAGTCGACAAAATTTTCAATTTTTTTTTTGAAAATCCGTCCCCCTCGAGAAAATCCTAGATCCGCCCCTGATGGCTAGAAACCCAGATTTAAATGAGGGGGATAGTGAACTAGACCTCGTGAATTCAATACGAAATTCGGTCCAAAATTTTTTTTGAAAAAAGCACCTTCCAGCTCATTAAGTAAATCTCGAAAATGATTAAGTATAGATTGTGCTAGTTCAAAAACATCATAGTACAAAAATAAATATACGGCCTAAAGCTCTTCAAATCTACAGCCCCTTTTTAATATTGCGATAGCCCCTTTTTAATAAAATTTAACCCAATTCAATAAAACTGGATCAATCAGTAACCTTTGTATTACGCTAAGAATTCTGAAAATTAATAATCACTTCCGAAATTAGAAATTGACCACGCTTTTCGTGAACTTTACACTTTTTCGGCTCGATAGTGGAATTAGTTAACAAAGCAAAGAAACTTAACTTAAATAAACATCAACAGTCAAACTGCAAAAAAAATAAAATTTGAGCGTGAAGTAATTTAAGAATATTTCCTGAAAAACAAACGCAAAAATTAATAACACCTATATAAGTGTCCTCGCTACTTCCGTAAACATTTACAACAATTTTCATGGCAAATAACTATAAAAAACTTGTTGATTTCCACTACTTTTTTTAAATCGCGCAAGGATGCAATTTGCGAAAAGAGCTCTTGTAAAATAGCATTATTTTAGTTAAAATTCGAAAATTTAACTCTGGATTATGCTTCTGGCTGGTTAACTAAAAAAATATAGAGTTCAATCACTTACTCGCATGTCAAACTTCACAAAGCAATCCAAATCCTCTCTGAAGAACAATAAAGGCCTCTCTATATACTTCTGAGCAATCAAAGGCAAGTCGCTCTCACACATTCTGATGATCTGATCCAAGTTGTTAGTAACATAGGTGCCTATTCCTCTGGACATGTTCCACGGTTTCAGGATCCACAAGTTCATGTCTGGGCCGTCTGGATTTTCAACTGAAATATCGATAATGTGTTTTTCAATGGCTAAACAATTTGATCATATATTCCATGACTTCACAGCGGATTTTTTTTGCCATTTTGAGACATTAGCCATTTTTAAAAAATGTGTGCCAATTTTTTGGGCGGCCAAGCTGAAAAACATGTTTCAATCCACATCTGCCAACTTTAATCTATTAGAAGAAAAATCTTGGTTCAATTCGTTAACAAAGACAATCGGCACTTGAAATTTTGGATCAACCGTAGTTTTCAATCACCAGTCATTGTTTCATAAATTTCAAAATCATCACACTTTGCGCGTTTATATAAAATGCGTAGTTTACCAAAATATTTTCCAGAATTAATACATGCTTGGGTAGGACATTCTGCAGAATAATATTTTTATAGATTAATCAAATGAGCTCTTTTTTCTTCCCATCTCATTTAAGCATCAATTTTGTATGTAACGATTAGCTTTACAAGGTTGAGTATGAAAACTAAATATATTTGCCATGGCATACGTAGTCTGCATGCCAATTTTTGTAACAATCGAACAATATGAACAAAACTTTACTTGTAGAAATTCGCTGGTGTGGTTAAAATAAAAATAGAGCCAACAAGTGATATTAAAATTTTAACTTACCTCTTTTCTCCCAGTCATGTACAAATCGTGGCAACTCATAGTACAGATTGTATGTCTTTTGAAACCACGGAGGATAAACTGGCTTATCATCTGGTTGTTCAAAATAATCGCCCGATATTTTTCTGAGTGTCGCCGCTGAAATTAAAACCACAATTGGAAAACTATTAAAGAAGCATGAAAGTGGCCAACAGGTCATTAAACACAAAAAATCTTACATCGATTCGCATAAATATTCCGGGCATCCTATTATGTTGTTTTTTAAATCAACACTTTTCTTTCAGTGATTAAACTGTCACCTGATGCTAAATGATTCCTGTGCTAAATTGTTAAATCTTGTCAATTATATATTTCCTATTTGGGCTTTCCGTTATACGGCCCAAAAATACCCCAAATTGTTACTTTGATCTTCTGTTCTTCATTTAAGGTGCTTAATTATTGGGGACACCCTCCCTGATAAACGATTTCGCTTAAAAAATGAGGGACCCCACAACAATAAAAACTATCTTGATTTTGAATTACGGAGAAATAGCAGACAGACTGAACAAATTACCAAAAGATTTAAATTTGCACAAAAGTCCGAAAAAAAATCAAGAAAATTGAGCAATTTTATCTTAACTTTAAATTCCGGGAAAATTATCAGAATTTACCTAACAGATCTTTACACACCATAACATGTTCTCCTGGAAACTGATTCACAAATTTATTCATCTCTCTCAGCCGATTGAAATCCTTGAAGTGTTCCAGTAGAAATAGTACGTCGGCTTTAATATCTATCGCACTTGGCTTCTCTCCCGTGCTCGTGGCCGAATCTCCGTTAGACGAATCGCCTATTCGGCAAAAAGTTGTTAAATGTAGTTTTTCGGATAATATACCTGTATCTAATTGAGCACGTTTTTCAATAAATAGCTGCTTCATCTCGTGAACAGTTCGTTCATTTAAAAAAAAACTGTTTGCTGTATAAAATTCCTGGAAAAAACTGTGAAAACAATTGAAGAAAAAATAAGTTCAAAAAATATTTTTCAACATAAAAAATATTGCAGGCAATTTTTTGATATCAGATTTTATTGTCATCCAAATGACATTTAACAACTCATCCATGCCTGTTTCTGAAAGCGGTTCAATAAGCCGAAAATGTTTCGAGTTCAGCGTGCTTTTCACATGCTGATTCTCAGTATAAACTGTGATGACTTTGTCTTCGGGGTAGAAATGTAAGGGCAACTCTTGTTTGTCAATTATTGGCAGATTTTCAGATCGATGGAATGCTACCTCGCTCCAATTGGGCTCATGAAGGGGCGGCTCTTCTAAATAAAAAAGAATAATTTAAACCATCTTTTGTTATTTTGGCCGCAAGATCATTATTCAGTATTCGTCCATTAGTCACAAGTAGCATCAATTAAAATACAAAAAAGAAACAATTAATCTGTTCAACCAATCGGCGCTAGTACACAAAAATAGATCCTAAAAGCAACGTGGCCGGTTGCTGTGGAAGTAGCGAAGAAAGTTCCGACCACATAATTAAACAAAACTTCAGAAAAAAAAACATTTTTTTCCATGAATGTGTAATGCTAGATTTTAAAAAAAATAGACGAAAGCTCAGAATATTAGCAAATACACTGCCGCTTACTTCGAAAAATGAAAGAAAACCTATAAAATTCTAAATAACCGAAAAGATTTTAGCATTTTTTAAAAAATTGCCAGTGAGGTAGAAAGATAACTATATCACAGATTAAAAAATGATTGCTAGTGAAACTAGTGCAGAATATGAATTAAAGATGGAAAAAATTGTAACTCGGTCATTAGAACCTTCTTTGTAAGAGACATGGTCAGTGTCATGAGTATCAAGATTACGAAGATTAAAACCAATTACATAAGCAATGAGCATTATGCATTTAGAAAATTCCTTTTTTGGCTCATGCCTGGAAATTAGTTTAAATAGGTGCCTTTAGAGAAGTAAAAGGATTGGCCCACCAAAATGGATGCCGTAAATTAGTACCAAAGGAGGACCCTTCGGCAAAAAATGGCAAAAATAATTGGTTCACTATTATGATCCAGCGTGCAACTCGTCTCGAAGAGTAAACATTTCATACATTGCGCATACTTTACCGTGATTAAGTATGTGAATTTTTTGAACTTTATTTTAATGTCTTCCAACAAAAGAGCTCGACCAGAACGAAAACTCAAAACTTAATATCTTACGGCTCACTACAAACTCTATGCGCTAAGAAATATAAAAAAACGCATATAGTTTTAAATGAAGGTCACGAAACCGATTCTGAACAGCTGGTATCTGCGTCCTATGCCTGGTAATTGATTGGCCTTAAATTACATTATCTGTACAAACCCACCTTCAAACTCTGGCATCCCAGTCCAGGGTAACATTTGGACACTCCTCAGTAAACTACTCTCTGACTTCAGAGCATAAGTGTGCTGTTGAATTAGAGCCTCTCCTTCTCCAATCGGTTTTGTGATCCACATTAACGAGTATGAGGCCATAGTTGGTATGAAGATTAGAGGAGCTATTCTCACGTTTGTTTCGTCACTATCAATCGATCGTCCAATATGAGTACCTAATCAATCAATGATATCAAACAATGTGTAGTCAAAACACCGAGTCAGTTGCTGTACAATTGGCACAGAATATTCCGACCACAGAGTTACAGATAATAAATTCAAGAACAAATAAAAAAAAATTTGATTTTTTCTAAATTCAATGCTTTGTTTTTACAGAAGGGCAACTAAAATAGACGAAAAAAAAATCCAACGATGAGAGGAATCAATTGCTCAAACGTTAAAAAAATTAATAAACTTTTGAAATTGAAGTAGTGAAGTCAGCCTGTCTTCAAAATGCGCCTTTTTCAGTGTGAAAATCGAAAACCTTCAGAGCAGTTTTTCTCATGGCTGCAAACTTTGAAAAACATTTTTTTTTGAAATCAGAATCCCATCTAGGCTTTAATATCAGACCACAATTGACTGCATACCAGCTTTCGTGGAAATAGTCAAAATTGGGATGAGAAAAAAAACACAACCTACACCATAGTCGCTTACCAACCCCTTTGGGAGAGGTGGGGTGATCGGAACAAAGATTGAAACGCTATTTTAATCTATAACTACGATCGCCTGCTTAAAATAGAAACAACTTAGAAACTGACCATAGTGGTCTATGATAGAAATAAATCAAAACAACAATCGTCTGCTTAAGAAAGAAAGAAAGAAAGAAAGAATATATTTTTCCTTTTATAAACAATATATCAGCATAATTAAATTTGCCACATTTAAAGCAGGAACGGATAGACAACGGGACCTGCTAAAAATGGAAACAACTTAGAAACTGACCATAGTGGTCCATGATAGAAGTAAATCAAAACAACAATCGTCTGCTTAAAATAGAAACAATTTAAAAACTGACCATAGTGGTCCATGAAGTACCACACTGGTTCCATGGCCTCCTCTTTCGTCTCCACCGAAGTATCAACCGTATTAGTATTAGTCTGCATAGAATAGCTGCCTACAAACTTCCACATGTGATCGTACACCTAGAAAGCATATTACCAAGACACAATAAGAAAATATATAAAACACAGGAGAAGCGGAGCTTCGCATCACTTCTGATTTATCATAAACATACTGAGGCAAGGCAGCCGACAAAAAACCATACGAAACACACCAGGCAGAAAAAAAAACGACGTGTAAGCGTGAAACTTCTGATATAAATAAGTTTGCCAGACCAAAACAACAAACCAAATAAATCAATACAGAACAATTAGACACGCTTAAATGCTGACAAACTAGGGTTCGGAAAAAGACAAGATTCTGAAAAAATTATGTTTTAAACGTTTTAAACATAAAAATCGCTTGTCAAAAACATGTCGAAAACTCAAAATCATGCACGAATCCGAGGCTACTAAATATGCGTTCCAGGCCTGCTGAGCTGGGAATTAGGGAAAGAACATCCTCAGCAATTTTTTGCAATTCTTTTGAAAAATTACCAAGTAAAACTTGTGCTTTAATGAATTTGAATAAATCGCATTTACTTTCCAATAAATTGAGTAAATGAGCCCCACATCCATATGCAATAATATCAGGTGAATCGTTGGTAGTCAGACAAACTAGGAAATATTTTCATTTAATTGGGGATCTAGATTAAGGACAAGAACCAGAAATCTTGAAAAAAAGCTTGAAAACAAAAACGCTTGAAAAAATCAAAAATTAGATCTATCAAACTTTTCATAAACCATAAACCTGTCTCTATTTGTAAGTGTCGAAAATTGTGAGATTCATTATAACAAAATTAATGAATCGGCATGTGAGCCAGCACAGAAAGATCTGGGTTTACAAGTTTCACATACCCCTTAGCACACACACTAACAAAATTAATAATCGTCTTTCAAAATACGCAGTAGGAGGCCATTAAGTCAAAATAACACGAACCAAACAAATTAAGCAAAAAAAGCGGCGTGAAAAATTTCAGTTGGTTTTAAACAACAAACGTCTATCAAAGATTTCGAATAGAAAGGACTTTAACACAGAGACATGCTCAAAATATGTCTATCGCAGAACCCAAAATATCGCCAAAATTATCTGCAGAACCCTACAGGAGCTGAGTCCTGTGAACAAAAGTGCCTTGTGCCTAGTGCCCGGATTGCAGTACACTTACTTTTGCAAGTGGAGATAACAATAAAAATTATATTAAACACGTTTTAAAAAGGAAAGAGACCATTTTCCGAGTACTCACATAATCACAACCTTGAAAAAAGCCAAAACACCGATTAGATGCATGTCGAATACATCTCTTCAAAAATGCAAGGGAATACACAATCTCACAATAATTTTCTATTTCACTTTTTCCTACTTTATTATTTAGTTAACTTTCTACTACAATTAACTTTCTCCTACACTTTTTAAGCAAGATATGAGCTCAACCTTCATTACGAATATCAAACATCAAGCTTCGAAAAAATTCAAACTCAACTACCGAAACAAATAGGATCAGATAAAATGTTCGGAAAACAACACGAACCTAAAGTGCCAAAAAAACACTTGTCCACACAAGGGCGAAGCGGAGCTTCGCAAGACTTGCGACCAATTAAAACATTGTATATTACAAGAGGTCAATTTGTTTGAAAAAATAAGCTGAAAAACTTACTTGAAAAAAGTATAAAAAACCTACCCTAAAATTTTTATACCTTTGATTCGGATGAGGCTCATAAACATCCTTATCAAGTTTTGAGAATCAATGACCGAGCGGCGAGCAAGGCGAAAAACTTTTCGAAAACATTTACAAAAAACGGATAAGAAATCAAAACATTGACATTTCTGAGTGCCAGAACAATTTTAGGCAAAAAAAGTTGGGCATCGCCGCTAATGCAGGGGAGATTCGCCTAATAAAACTCTCAGATGTCGGAGGGCAAGTTTCGAGAAAAATCGAAAGGTTTGAAAACCGGTCAAAAAGTCAAGAATTTTGACTTTTCTTAGGGCCATTCTTTTTTGTGTCAAAAAAATTGGGCGTAGCCGCTGATTCAGGGGAGCTTATCACAACCCATCTTTTTGATTGAAATCAAAACTCAGATTCGGGAGGTTAGTTTTCGAGAAAACTAAAAACGTTTAAAAACGGTCAAAAAATCAAAAACTTTTCTGAGGGCCATAAATTTTTGTGTCAAAAATATGGCACAACCACTTAAGCAGGAGGAATATTCCACAAAGTGTTCCATCCATGGAGCCCAAAATCTCAATTAGGAGGGTAGTTTTCAGAAAATAAATCTTAAAAACTTTCCTATAATTCCCCCACCCCCACAGACTTTTTCGACGGTGGTAGAAAGTGGGGTTTAGATAAATATGATTGCAAAGCGTACTCGATACTATAAATTGCATTTGGAGAAAGAAACAAATTCAGCCGACAAAAATTAGGACCAAAATCAAAGTCCGAAAAACTGAAGATTTTTTCAAACACTACATTTAGAAAGTTAATTGCTACCTCAAATGAACTAAGAAGTAGTATTCTAGTTCTGATCAAAGTAGTATTCTAGTATTCAAACCGAAAACAAAAAACTGATCAAAAAGTTTTGAATATTTTTCAACTCTCGAATTTCGAAGGAAAAATATTTCAAGATAAAGCTTTTTGAATTTCAAGATCAATTTCTGATTTACATTTCTTCGATAAAATAAACCCAGTCTAAGAAAACTGGTTCAATGTGTAGTTTTTATTACGCTGGGATATCTAAGAAATAAAATCCACTTTCGAAACTTGAAGTCGTTCATTTTTTGCGCCATTTCCAAGTTGAAATTTAGTCTGCTATTTGAGTAACTTTCATCAGATGAATTAGACTGAACCAAAAAAAGTGGATATATACATATGTGCATTCATAAATGCATTAATATGTATGAATGCACATGTGTTGTTATTAGAGCATTTGAAAAAAAATCATACATCCAAAAATCAACTCTATTTAATAAAGCTATATACACTATAAACGAAGACCAAAAGACCTATATAACTGAAAATCACTTGGTTCGTTAACACTTAAAACTGAAAAAGAACATTTTTTTGCTTGGATACTTTCAGATATTTACCCACTTGTTCGATTCTCTCATCCACCGGTTTCATTTCATGCTTCTCACAGTGTCCATTCTTCTCACTCACCTCTTCGCCTAACACATAGTAAGTAGTATTGGAAAGTTAATTGGGAGGTGAAATTTCAATTATGTATTATTTAATTAATTGAATTGATTTCATGGAAAAAGTCAATTTGGAAGTAAAGAGTCAATTTCGAGATATTTATATCATAAAATTGACTTGGTTTCTCCAATTTTTTTTTCAACTGCCATTGAATTGTAATTAAATGGTGATTGTTCGTGGATTTAGCTCCGCGAATTTACATCCAAAACTGACAGGAAAAAGTGTTTTTCTTAAAAATACGACTAATGTTAATGTGATATGCTGAAAAAAAATCATTCTTCCATGTTGAAATTCGGTCTCAAATTGAGCATGATACTTCCTGTTAAGCACATTGCTCAGCTTACTCAATTAGTTTTCAAAAAAGCAACGTTGATTGAGTTCCCTTGCTTGTCATGAGTCAAAAATGGGGACCGAGAATTAATAAAACATGAAACAGAGACGAGCACTAAAACATGAAACTTACCTCCCCCTAAAGGACTTATTCCAATCAGCTGTTCTACCCGATCCAGAAGCAGCAGGTCCTTTATCAACATTTTCCCAAATCTCCGCAGAGGGAAGGTGAACCAGTTATCAATTAGGTAAACGTCTTGTTCTGGTTCCAAATCCTACAAAAGAAATGCATTTATAGGCATAGATTCATGTTTTTGACATGATGTTAAGAGAAAACACTTAATTTTTTCAACAATTTTAGAAAGCATTTCGTGAGCAGACGTAAAGCTACTAAGTCAAATGATATTTGCCGAAAAAGAATCTTAGAAAAAGTCAACCGTCTCAACAAAATAAAACCAATCACAATTTCGCTCTCTTAACCTTCTGTCAAAACGTGCAAATATCTTGAACTAGAATAGCACTAAGCACTGATTTTTAAAACCGAACTCAATCAATCAAGTTATCATTATCGATGTAGCGACTTCATACCTGTTATAACATATAAAAGCGCGTGACACACTCTTTAAACTGCTCTGAATTTTTAGTTAAGTTTACTTCTTGAATTTTCAGAATGTTTTTGAGCTTTTGTGAAATCCATCTGGTTTCTTTGTTATGCAACATCAGCTTCAGAAAACATGCATCAATGTTAAAATCATTATAGCCAACAGACATTTTGGAAGAGTCAATGAACCCAAGTAAACAGACAAAAATATACTGCCTCGTTTTCTGAATTTCTAAGAAAATAAATGGCTTTAAAGGTCTTTAGTTTTCCAGAAAAATTTCTGATCAAAACTTTTAAAATAAAACTAACCAAAATTGAGAAAACTGGATCAATTCGGAAATATTTAATATAGCTAGGAAATATGAAAACTAAATTCAACTTTCGAAACAAGAAGTCGATCACGCTTTTCGTGACCTTCACTTTCGCTGTTCTATATTGCAGTTTGCCTTTAAATTAACAAAAAATGGACTGAACTGAACTACCGCGAAAAAGTAAACTTCAGCCTAGACATTTTTAAAGACTTTTCCTGAAAAAAATCATCATGATTTATATAAGAGTCTGAACTACGGTGATTTTTACGGTGAAGATAATGTGAAAAATCGTTTAAGTTTAAAATAATTCAATTCATCGCTTTATCTTTTTTTCACCTTGTTTCAGTCGGACTCTCGGAAACATCTGGCCCATTTAAGGCCAAAAGTTAGAGTCAACTTCAACAATTGTCATCAACATAACATTGTCATCAACATAAAAAAAGGCACCAACATAACATTTTTTCTTTAAAAAAAGATATGTTGGTAAATTTCAGGCGTAAGTTTCAATCAAGATTCCAAATTAATTTAAAAACAGTTTGAGGGGATATAATGAAAGTCCAGCTCAGGTTTTTACTGTGTGAAAGCCCAATTACTGATGTCGATTTTGGACAGCATTTGCTGGGAGAGAAAACGAGTGTTTTACAGGGACCATGAGCAAACAACATTGAATACTCTTTATTAAAGTACTTAAATTTGTTTCAAGTACTTATCAGGTTTTTCTGGGAATGAAAATGCCAACTAAAAACACCAGTTTCCACTATGTGCGGTAAAGTTTTTCAATTATTTCGATTTTGAAAATTATCTGAATAAAGCGGAGTAAAAAAGGTTCGTGTGATATAAAATATTCTCAGCAAGTCAATTGAATTTTCTACTGAGGCAACTTTCTACTACTCAGTTGTTTCTTTTAATTTCACGCATTCGAAAAATTTAATGCAAAACTACATGAAACGAACATTTGATACTTCATGGAGAGTAGTTTCGATCATTTGCTTTTGGTCCCTGTAAAAAAAGGCTTCAACTCCTGGAAAACTTTGTCCAAAATGGACGATGGAAATAGAAATTTTAAGCAGCAAAAACCTGAAATTCTGCTTAATTGTGCCCAACAGCGTACAACAGACTCAAACGCAAACTACATGTTGAAAATTTATCGAACTTTCAAAAAAAAACTTAAAAAACTTAATATTAACTTAAAAAACTGTACATTTTTTTAACCATATGAACTTTTAGAAAATATTTAGTTTAACTCACTATGATGCGTTTTCAATTTCACCCAATACACATGGCATCAAAATTAAATGAAAAATGGTTTAGATGAGTAATACACTACTGTATAAATAATAATTTTGAAAAAAAATGTATCATTAGTGTTTTTTAAACCAACCAAGGATTCATTTCGTGTGCGCAAAACTTTATTCACGAATTAATCCTAAGTTTAAAGTGAACATTACCTGCGAAGCGCTTATTTCATATTGAATCAACTCTTTGTTGCTTTCTTCTTCCTCATCATCAGAGGAGCTTCTAATCAGACCAATGGTCAAGCTACTGCTACAGTCATAACACGAGTCAATTATCTTCTCGAGCGCCTTCACCTGAAGCGATGCAGGTAAGCCCATTTTCATGAACTGGTCCGCGTGCAAGTTGAAGATGGCTTGAAGATCCATTCCAAAATCAAACAAATCTGAAAAATGAAAGGCAGCTTTGACGATATAAGCACTTTTCTAAATTCCAAAAATAGGCTCAAGCTAAACTTATGTTTTCCTATATTTCCATCATATTTCAGCCTTTGATGTTCATTGGTGAAAACAAAAAATTTATTTCAAAACAAAATTTTTCAAAAATATCAAACTTGTTGGTATCAATCAATTTGAATTTTTCTCAAAACTGTTTAAAATTTCTGTACCAATATAAATTTTTCTGGAGTTTATTTTTGTTGCAATTTGAACTCTATTACTCTTTTACAATTAATCGTCTTACTAATTAATCTTGAGTTGACTTTTCGTATTTTCCGTAAAAACCAGAATGTAGAAAAAAAACTCGCTCTGCATGGGGCGAACATGGTATCAAACTCAGTATAGCTCTCATAACGTTTGCCAGCTCGCGGAATTTAAAATTTTCCTTTCAATTTGATTTAGATTTGATTCTGTTTTGTTTAAATTAAAATCTCTCAGTAAAATTGAGTGGGCCGATATTTTGACATTCAATTAAATTAAAATTAAAAGGAATTCAAATTAATTTAAATTGTTTTTTTTTTCAATGACTATCCTTGCATTGAGCACAAAACGGAATGTCCTGAATTTTAATTTATCAAGAACTTTTATCAATTATTTGTGTTTACATCCAATACGAGTTACATCCAAACTTGATTCGACAGTTATTATACCTATAGAGGCTATATAACACCTACTGTTATTTAGGAAGGATTTTTTCAAGAAAAAATCAATGGAAAAACTATCAAATACATTGGAAAAGGATGTTTATAAAAGAAAAATGAAGCTATTTAGAACATAAAAGACAATTCAATATAGCGGAAACAATTCATAAAGCTCAGTCAGTTTTTTCAGCATCATTAAAAAAATCAGCACACACGTACTAAAAAAGTCAATTAGATGTCGTTGAGTTTTATAAAAAAAATTATAGTTAATAAAAATAACAGAATGGTCCAATTATGCTTATCTTTCCAACAAACATTCAAAATAAAACTAAAGACAACAATCCGCAGAAAAAAAACAAGCATGTTCCGACCAAATTCATTAAAAACTAACGTGTAACGCACCTCCGGTACTCATAACAAACCAAAAATATTGGAAATAAGATCTGCATTCTTTGAGTGTATTCTCACAGCACCCAAAAACAGGGTTCGTAATTACAAGTTTTTTTTTCAAGTTTTTTATACAAAATTTGAAGAACCATAAAATTTTGTGAAGTTTTATATAGGTTCTTTCTAAAACGTCTCATCTTTGAAACTAAAAACAATTGAGCAGTCGCATTTGGACGCAAGATATGCAACTACTGAATTTACCCTTATCGTACCCAACTACGTTGGGAAATTCAAAATTTGAGAAACTTCACCTTAAGTTTTCTGAAAAAGCTTATGCAGTCTTACAATAATTGAGCAGTCTTACTTTATGGCAATATTCGCAATCTTTGAAAGTACTCTGACAGCACACAAGTACAGGCTTGGGAATTTCACTTTAATGAATTATTTTGTAATTACAGTTTTCTGAAAATTTCCAATTAAATCACAAAAAACTTTTAAGCTAAAACAATTAGGGCATTCTTATTTTGAGGCCAAATTTCTAACCCCTGAGATTACTGACAGCCCCCAGCTACAAATTAGGAGTTTCAAACTTTGAAAAAAAATTAATATTTCAAGAAAATTTTTTGAAAAAATCACAAAAAAACGTCTTATCTGGAAAAATGCAAGGTTTTGAGCAGTCACATTAAGAGGCCCAATTCTCAGCTCCTGAGAGTACCCTGACAAAGACTCAACACAGAGATGGGAATATCACATTTTGTGAATTTTTTTACATCCTAAGAATCCAAAAAAAAACTAAACAACTCCTAAAAAATCCTTAGAAAACATCATATCTCGAAAACTGCAAGGATTTGAGCAGACATAATCAGAGGCAAGATTCTCAACCTCTGAGAGTACCCTCACAATATCCAACAACAAGATTGAGATCTTCCAAATTTTTGGAATTTGTTAAAACCAAAGTTTTTGAAAAAAACTTTTGAAAAATCATAAAGAAAACCTCATATCTTGAAAACTACAAGGATTTGAGAAGTGAGATTTGGAGGCAAGATTTGCAACACCTGAGAGTATCCTGACAGCATCCCATTGCAGTGTCAAAATTTCAAAAACTTAAACATTTTTTAAATTATATTTTCTAGAAATTTTTGAAAAGTATCGAAAATCGCCGATTTCGTTAACTAAAATGATTTGGTTATTCATATATGGAGGCCAGAATCTCAAAACTAGAGAAAACTCTGACAGCAACCCTCCATTGTGTTGCCAATTTCAATATGATGAGACAAACACTGAATTTAAACTGGAAAATCGAAAAAAAAAAACCTTAACCATTGCAATATATGATATAAAATAAGTCTCAATTGAAATCAGCTTAGTACAACTGATTAACAAATATATTACAAATTGCAGTTTCTCATGGAAAATCAATTATAATCCGAAATTTCATTCCGGTCAAAAGGTTTGTAGCAAAATCAGTGATTCATATGCCAAGTTATAGAATCGTACTAATAGCGCATATATTCCGAGACCTCTCAGAGATTTGTCCCAATAAACATGATTGGCCAATACATTTACAAATTGTAGTTTCTCAAGAACCTGTCAGAGAAATGCCGCTTATTTTTTTCTTTCATCAGATACTTGCCGACTGGGTTTCGCGCTCTCAATTTTGCTTCGCTATACTCTGATCGAGATGGAATTATACTTGAAAGAATATGGTTGTCATCTCTCGATATAATTCGGTAAAGTTTTCGTCCTCTTTCCTTACTAAGTCGTTGATTGAGACAAACCCTTGAATAACGCCTGCATCAACAGCCCTCCTCTGGACTCGGCTTTTATCTTGTCGAGCAAATATTGGGGTGCGCCCCCCCCCCCCCCCCCATACTTGAATACCATACAATAGGATGGGCATAACAAGCTGATTGTAGAGATGATTGAGTTCAATTTTGGTGTATACAGGGTTTTTCAGTTTAACAAGCAGAAACAGCTGTGATGAGGCTTTTTTGGTTGCCTTTGTTATGTGAGGTTCAAAAGAGAGTTTATCGGTGAACGTGATGCCTAGAATTTTAAGTTTGTCGGTGATCTCAATGTCATGAACAGGTTGAAAAGTAACTGAGTGAGATAATTTGATCTGAACTTCTTTGGATTTCTCGTTGTTCAAGATAAGATAATCGGATTCACACCATTCCATGATGTGACCGATGGCTTGATTTACCGAGTCAACTTCATGTTTACCACCGTTGCAGGGGGTGTTGTCATCTGCAAACTTTGCCGCCAGGGTTCGAGTAACTTGACAGGATTGAGATCTTCCAAATTTTTGGAATTTGTTAAAACCAAAGTTTTTGAAAAAAACTTTTGAAAAATCATAAAGAAAACCTCATATCTTGAAAACTACAAGGATTTGAGAAGTGAGATTTGGAGGCAAGATTTGCAACACCTGAGAGTATCCTGACAGCATCCCATTGCAGTGTCAAAATTTCAAAAACTTAAACATTTTTTAAATTATATTTTCTAGAAATTTTTGAAAAGTATCGAAAATCGCCGATTTCGTTAACTAAAATGATTTGGTTATTCATATATGGAGGCCAGAATCTCAAAACTAGAGAAAACTCTGACAGCAACCCTCCATTGTGTTGCCAATTTCAATATGATGAGACAAACACTGAATTTAAACTGGAAAATCGAAAAAAAAACCTTAACCATTGCAATATATGATATAAAATAAGTCTCAATTGAAATCAGCTTAGTACAACTGATTAACAAATATATTACAAATTGCAGTTTCTCATGGAAAATCAATTACAATCCGAAATTTCATTCCGGTCAAAAGGTTTGTAGCAAAATCAGTGATTTATATGCCAAGTTATAGAATCGTACTAATAGCGCATATATTCCGAGACCTCTCAGAGATTTGTCCCAATAAACATGATTGGCCAATACATTTACAAATTGTAGTTTCTCAAGAACCTGTCAGAGAAATGCCGCTTATTTTTTTCTTTCATCAGATACTTGCCGACTGGGTTTCGCGCTCTCAATTTTGCTTCGCTATACTCTGATCGAGATGGAATTATACTTGAAAGAATATGGTTGTCATCTCTCGATATAATTCGGTAAAGTTTTCGTCCTCTTTCCTTACTAAGTCGTTGATTGAGACAAACCCTTGAATAACGCCTGCATCAACAGCCCTCCTCTGGACTCGGCTTTTATCTTGTCGAGCAAATATTGGGGTGCGCCCCCCCCCCCCCCCCCATACTTGAATACCATACAATAGGATGGGCATAACAAGCTGATTGTAGAGATGATTGAGTTCAATTTTGGTGTATACAGGGTTTTTCAGTTTAACAAGCAGAAACAGCTGTGATGAGGCTTTTTTGGTTGCCTTTGTTATGTGAGGTTCAAAAGAGAGTTTATCGGTGAACGTGATGCCTAGAATTTTAAGTTTAACGGTGATCTCAATGTCATGAACAGGTTGAAAAGTAACTGAGTGAGATAATTTGATCTGAACTTCTTTGGATTTCTCGTTGTTCAAGATAAGATAATCGGATTCACACCATTCCATGATGTGACCGATGGCTTGATTTACCGAGTCAACTTCATGTTTACCACCGTTGCAGGGGGTGTTGTCATCTGCAAACTTTGCCGCCAGGGTTCGAGTAACTTGACAGTCGCCATTAGAAAGATTGAAACACGGGGGAACCATCACAAACCCCTGCGGTACTCAACTATTGGTACATATAGCTTGAAAAAGAACAAAATTCTTTCGTTAAACAGGCAAAATTATTATGCTTACTCATGGGAGATAGCTGTCACTCGCATTTAAACATAGTATAGATAGACAGATTATTGAAAAAAAAACTAATTCTTCGTTTCTTCAAATAAAAATCAATTTTAGTGCTTGGCGTGATTTGAGAACTATACGATTGCGAAA